TTGTTTCCATTAATTTTTACTCAACTTTAACGAACACCATGAACGTTGTACTTACTGTGGGTCACCTTGGCCCTCCCAGCCCTAAGAAAAGGAGGGAATAGGCAAAGCAATTTTTCCTTCTCAGCCCCCGAAACTATTTTGAAAGATTGTTCCCGAGTAACAGCGTGCTGAGCCTCGGAAATCAAGGCTGACAGCAATCTCGGACAAAATTCTGGTTCTTGCTGATTACTTTGACATCACTCCAGCCTGGAGATTGGTTCTCGCTGAATCTCAGCTTGATTCTGAGCTGTATCTTTGTTCTTGCTGGATCTCTACACGTTCAAGACTGGATTTTGGTTTTGCTGGATGTTTCGATATGATGGCGGGTTGGTTCTTGGTTCCTGACGGTTCCTTGGCTTGATATCAGACTAGATTTTGATTCTTACTGGATCTTTCGTCGTAATATGAGGCTGGATGCTGTCTCCTGCTGGATACCTCGGCCCTATACCCGACTGGTTGCTGGGTTCTTTCTGGTCCTGGAACCAGGAACCAGGAACCGGTTCCCGGAAAGAAATCTCGGGAACCATGCACATGTGGGAGGCGGGAGGCGAGAGCACGGCGGCGGTACCTCAGTGTCGGGTTAGAATTACCGCACCATCTTGGCTATTATGTTTCGAGGGGGCAAAACGGAAAAGAGGCCATCTTTCAGCTGGACGGTATCTGCACGCGTTGGAAAGACGCGTTTTAAATCGAAATCCTCCGGCTCGTTCAGATAAATGCTGTTGAATGTTTCTGGTGCAGACTTCACTCATTTAATTTACTTTTATTCGCGTACAGCTGAATATCAACTGTCTTGACGCAATTTTACATTTACATGGTCCCAGTTCGCTTGTCCATTTTGCAAAAGAATTACCAAGAGCCCCCCCCCCAAAAAAAAACAACAACAAAGGAGCATTGACAAGTGCACGTTACAGAAAGCTCATGCAGTGGAGCATGGATATACCAACGCCATGATGCCTGCCCTCGCGGTATTAAAGGCGGTCAGTATTTGGGCCGTGTTCAAATGCCAATGTGTCCCTGCCCTAATCAGCCAGGGGAAGATGAGGTCGAATCAGCTCTGGGCGCGGGTGAGCTCCATCGCCTGCAATGCGTGTGTTACTTGTGCTGTCGCTTTAGACTGCTGGGAAATGTAACCGTGAACGTAAAGGGCAAATTCTCGCATTATTCAGGGCTCGGAGAGTCAGGCGACGACAATGGTCATTGACAAAAGCGCAACCAGACGGCTGTTGCGGGTCGGGTGTTGCATCACGCTGCAGGTTGAGTGTGTAAGTGTCTTGCATCAAGCACGCGAGCCGTGTCAGCACGTCTGCATGTCCGGGTTCTCCTCGGCTCCGCTCAAACCCATGACGCATGCTGAACTCATCGGGACGTTCCATGACAGTCTGATGCGACGCCGACCAACGTCGCGTGGCGAGCGAAGGAGCGATGAGCCCCGCCCCAGCTGCCCTCGTTGGGGCAGCCGACCTTCCCGTGCCCCGGCGCCGGTGCCAGCGTCCTGGGGACGGACAGATGGGTCGGCCGGGCCCTGCGTCGCCGCCGCCGCCGGTCCGCGACAATGTGGCGTCAAGTGTCGCCGGGGCGGGCGCGGCGCTCGCGGCACGCGGGGGAGCGCCGCAGGGGGACGGCCGCCGCGCCGCCGGCGGCCCAGCGACGGAGCACCGCCTGCAGCTGGACGCGGCTCGATCGCTCGCGCCCGCTCGAGACGGGGCCGTCGCGGCTGCACTCAGCGAAAGTGAAGGGGTGCGACGGCTGCGAACAGCATCACCGGGCATTCTCTGCCTTACAGATACTTGCTGCCCGAGTACTTGCCAAGCGGTCCACTGTCCAGTTTCAGTCCATTGTAGAGATGTGATCTATAGGGACCAGCGCAAAACGCTGAACACGAGCCAGATGACATGGTTCACGTCAACACACGTCATTTGTGCGATAGGCCCTGAGAGCTGGGCGGGGGCGGCACCATGCTCATAACACTCACTGCTCTCTGCCGGATCATCTGGTCAGGCACTGACTGGTACTGCAAGAGCAACGACTCAAAAGACAGCGTGCTCGAGACGCCGAGCCTAGGCGCTTCATAAGCGTGCACGCAGCTAAACATATTGCCAGAATCGATACCGCGTACATCAACGTTGGTTACGGAACTGAGGAGCTGGTCAGCGACCCATCCAGGCGGGTTGCGGATAGGGATAGGTATATGGGCCATCTTAAGCATTTTTCGTTTCCAAAGCTCCAGCAAGCTTTGTTTTACCGATATCTCGCCTATGAATTAATTGATGCAACCAACGACTGTGAAAATGCCGAATGTTCTAACTTTCTGACACATTATAATGTCTAGCTGAATCTAGAACAACTCAAGAAATGTTTCTCAATAGATGGAAGTTACCACAGAATGCAGCTCATGACAATTGTCGAAGGAATTGGGCATACCGGGAAACAATGTGAAGAAATACGTACCTTGAGAAAGACAACATGTTTTGTTGATTCTGTTAATATTTCTTGCCACTTCTATGGATGATATGTTGACTGTTTTTTGGACTTATTTCTACAAGATGAGCATAGGTTATTCAATCTACCTCACATTCAATTTCATTGTGGTGATAAAACGATATCCGACTCAAAATGGAATGCACTCAAAAGATTAAAGTCGATCGAGGTTCGGACACAAAGCGTTTTGGACGGTGTGGGCAAACCCGCGCAAATCTCATCCTGCATCATAATCTGTCTATTGCAGCTCAAACCCCCACGTAACACATCACACAACATCCCTTTGAAGCAAGTTGTCCGCACCGTTACGCGCATCGTTATCCCATCTGACGTCGCTTTCCATGGGTTTCCAGTTTGCATCCCGGTGTACGGTAAGCAAACGCCGAATTTCCGGTCTGCGGTTGAACAAGTTCTCGGAAGTTGTCTCACCGGAGCCGGCCGACCCCCGGCCCCCCGGCCGTGACGGGCCAGTCCTGTCTCCGATCATGGCGCGACCCTGTCTCGGATTTCAGGGCGCGTGCGACGCTGATCGCAGCGCCAGTTGTTCAGTTAAGCAAATACGGCTCCGGTTACCAGCACGCGCCGTACGGAAACTGACGGCGAGAAGCGTACGAGACTGACGGCAAGAGGTGTATGACACTGACGGTGAGAGGTGTGCCAGACTGACGGCGAGAGGTGTATGACACTGACGGCGAGAGGTGTATGACACTGACGGCGAGAGGTGTACCAGACTGACGGCGAGAGGTGGACCACACTGACGGCGAGAGGTGTACCACACTGACGGCGAGAGGTGTACCACACTGACGGCGAGAGGTGTACCACACTGACGGCGAGAGGTGTACCACACTGACGGCGAGAGGTGTACCACACTGACGGCGAGAGGTGCACCACACTGACGGTGAGAAGTGTACCAGACTTACAGCGAGAGGTGTACCACACTGACGGCGAGAGGTGCACCAGACTGACGGCGAGAGGTGCACCACACTGACGGCGAGAGGTGTATGACACTGACGGCGAGAGGTGTACCACACTGGCGGCGAGAGGTGGACCACACTGACGGCGAGAGGTGTGCCACACTGACGGTGAGAAGTATACCAGACTTACAGCGAGAGGTGTACCACACTGACGGCGAGAGGTGCACCAGACTGACGGCGAGAGGTGGACCAGACTGACGGCGAGAGGTGTGCCACACTGACGGTGAGAAGTGTACCAGACTTACAGCGAGAGGTGTACCACACTGACGGCGAGAGGTGGACCACACTGACGGCGAGAGGTGTGCCACACTGACGGCGAGAGGTGCACCAGACTGGCAGTGAGAGAGGTGCACCACACTGACGGCGAGAGGTGGACCACACTGACGGCGAGAGGTGTGCCACACTGACGGCGAGAGGTGCACCAGACTGACGGCGAGAGGTGTACCACACTGGCGGCGAGAGGTGTACCACACTGACGGCGAGAGGTGCACCAGACTGACGGCGAGAGGTGTACCAGACGGCAGAAGGTGCACCACATGACGGCGAGAGGTGTACCACACTGGCGGCGAGAGGTGCCCAGACTGACGGCGAGAGGTGCACCAGACTGGCAGTGAGAGAGGTGCATCAGATTACAGACAGAGATGCGCCACACTGGCGGCGAGAGGTGCACCAGACTGGCAGTGAGAGAGGTGCATCAGATTACAGACAGAGGTGCACCACACTGGCGGCGAGAGATGCACCCAACTGGAGGCAAGAGGTGCATCAGACTGGCGAAGATACGTGCACTAGACTGACGGAGTTAGGTACACCTCTCTCTCCGTCAGCGTGGCGCACCTCTTCCTCGGTCAGTGTCAGGCACCACACTGTCTCTGGAGAGAGAACAGCTTTGTTTGACCCAGTCGTTTCACAGCGAGCATTGCGGAATTCCACCACATACGATAGAAAAGTCGGCGCGTTCCCGTGTGACCAGTCCATGACGCAGCCGAGTGCGTTTTCCCGTCACTGTGACGTGCGCCGTCAGATTTGCTTTTCGGTGTGACTCCGCCCAGTGGGCGGTACTGCACACACTCATTCACCATTGCATCCTGGTTGACACAGAGGAGTGGCCCCGGGTCTCAGATCGTCACGGCGCGGTCCGCCAGCCGCCCGGCATGAAGCAACCTCGGAGTTCCCAGGGTCCGAAGTCTTACATGCCGCCGCTGGCGTCAGTTGGTGCCAGCGGCGGGGAAGTGGAGAGGGAGGGGAGTCGGCGGGCCGCCGACTGCAGGAGCCACCGCGCCACGCTCCTCCCCCTCCCCCTCGGGCGCTGACCGCTCCGCCTGTGATGGCCGGGACGGCCTGCGGCCCCGGCCGCCATTCAGGCTCACCAACCTTGGAGCGCCGTGCATATGCTTGATTCGCAGCGTCGGCCAATGGCAGCGCGGGGGGCGGAGCCTGAGCGCTGGCCCCGCCCCTGCGGCGGCGGTCGGAGGTGGCGATGACGAATGCCAGAGGGAGACTGCCGACTGTCTGTCGTTGCTCGGCGGATCGCCGCTCCGGAGGTTTATATCTGGGCCAGCGTTTCTTGTTTGGCCGCGGGCGGTCTGGACTGTGTCATGTCGGCGTCTGCCGGATTCGCGGCGGGCTTCTCTGCCGGCGGCGGCCAGGAGCCGGCCGTGTACCCCTACTACCCGAGCCCGCCCGACACGTACTACTCGCTGCCGGGCTGGGGCTACCCGGCCGACATGTCGCCGTCCGAGTACAGCCCGCCGCCGCCGCCGCCGCCGCCACCGCCGCCGCCGCCCGGCTACCAGGTGGTGCCGGGCGCCCAGTACCCGACCGACGCGTACGGCCCGCTCCCGGCCGGCTGGGACGGCGGCCAGGGCCGGCCCGGCCGTGGCGTCAAGCCCAAGCGCGGCGCCAACAAGAAGGAGCGCCGACGCACCATGAGCATCAACAACGCGTTCGCTGAGCTGCGCGAGTGCATTCCCAACGTGCCAGCCGACACGAAGCTGAGCAAGATCAAGACGCTGCGCCTAGCCACGTCATACATCGCCTACCTCAGCGAGATCCTGCAGTGCGACGCCGAGGCCGTGCCCGAGTTCAAGGCTGAGGTCAAGAAAACCGACCGCAACGACGAGAAGCGAAAACGCGAACTGGTGAGTGGCCAGGCGGCCTATGAGCTGCCAGCCCACTGGCCTCATGGCGGGCCGGGAGCCGGCGTTGTTTTAATACGTCCGCGTGGCTGCGGAGGACGAGCGTTCGCTGCGAGTCCGCCGGCTGCTGCTGCTGTTCGGGATGTGCCAGACGGCACAGAACTCCTTAGCAATGGAGTAGCCAAGATTCCGGAGCATGTGGGCGTTTTTAGCCAAAGTATTTTACATGGTCGCTAAAGGACCCCTGGTGTTGTTATCCGACGGACCATTTTGAGGTTGGGACCCAATTTTGAAGCCTCGAGGGACCATGCTTTCAGTTTAGAGAGCACATGGGCTTCTTAACATGCGAAAAAGTAGTGAGGCTTTCGGGCTCTGGGGCCCCGCCACTCTCAATGGCAACCTGTGGCCCCAAAGCCCTCCCCCTCCCCCCCCTTGGTTACGCCACTGCTTCTTAACTAGAGATTCGAATAGGGACCATCAAAAACGACGTAATGTTCGCGAACTGTGGGAGAAGTAATCCAATCTGCAGAGCAAACGAGCATCGCGTGAGCGTTTGACCCGTCACAAAGTCAGGGTTGAACTGATCGGATATCCCTGATCCATCTCATCCAATTTGACTCCACACCTCTGGCAAGCGCAGCCCTCCGTTCTAACTCCTTTGCTAACTTCTAACTCTGTTTTAACTTTTCTGTTACCATGATTTGTTCTTTGAAGAAAGGAATTCAGAATAGTTTTCAAGGGTGGCTCCGGGTTTGGAGCACTTTCTGAGAAGCGCTTTTTACGCTGACGTGAACACTTGTTACACTGTATACGCGACTCATGTTGTACTTATCGACTTCGTCTGATGATCTTGTCCCCGGCCTTTCCGCCAGACGCGACCGGACAGGAATTCGCGCATTGTCTAGTGCCGTGGGATGGCCGCCCTGGTCCAGGGCGACCCGCTCTGGTCTGCTGTCCGCTGACGTTACCATCTCAGTCATGACAAACACTGCGCCCGCTCTGGTCTGCTGTCCGCTGACGTTACCATCTCAGTCATGACAAACACCACGCCCGCTCCGGACGCGTTCCGATTGCTACCGCATTAGAGGTCCGCAGTCTTTCCATTGGACCACGGAGCGCCGCACACCTCTAGATCCACCCGTGGGTCCCCGTCAAACCTCTGGGCTCGCCATCGGTGCAGTGGCGCTGAGATGGGATATGCTTAAATGATGTTTCTATCCGCGAATGTCGTGGGATTTGGATAACTACTAAATCAGCAAGTTCAGATAGCTGCTTGTTTGTGCCTATTCGAATCTTAGTTTGCTAGTATTCAAACAACATGTGCCTCTCAGCTGGCTCGACAAAAATCAAAATGAACATATCATGCTTTATTTGAGTGGCCGTGATGTGAAATGGTCACTTAAACCTCAGTTGCTTAATTGCACGCCTTCATGCGGCAGGTGTAGCTTCCAGCCAACTGAGAATAACATGAGATACCTGTGTGTCTCACGGCCGGCTGGGCGTGATGCTGTGCACTTACGTGCGCATCGTCCCCAGCTTACTGTGAGTGGCTGTTGCCCAAGACTGTGGTGTCGGTGATTTTAGCGGCATTTACGACATATATATAGACATGTCCACAAGCCTCTAGGTGGCAAACGTGTGCCGACAAAAATGCATCAATGAATGAACGCGCTTGAGGTCGGTGCCAGCCGTTTTAGCTAAAACCTGCATTTTAACTTATGCAATGTCCAATGCAGGGCGCGGCTCCAGGAAGGGAAGAGGGTCCACTTAGGAGTCATGAACGGCCAGGAAGGTTACATCGATGGAATGAGCCTGAAAACCTCGCCCGCAGCCTTCGGCCTGTTGCGCCGCCTTTGTTTCGAAGTGCGTGTTGAGCTGGGCTCGGCTTGGCCGGGCAGGCTCAGCCAGGTGCGACTCAGACCGGACCAGTCCAGCCTGGCCTCGGCCGCCTGCCTTGGTTTGGTTGGAGCTGACTCACTCTGGTTTATTCCGGCTCGGCTTGGCCGTGGTCTGTCACAGTTTGGTTTGCTTTTGGCCTGGCCTGTTCCAAATGGTTTGCCTGCAGCGTCTGCTTCGCTTAATGTGGCTGAGGCTCGCTGCTCATAGCTTGACTCAAGTCTGACATCTTTTATTTCCTGTCTGTCTGCCCCGCTTGGTCTGACTTTTCGCGGCTGTTTTAATCCGGTCTGCTCCGCAAGCGCGACTCGAGCAGACTCCAACTTTAGCCCGTCTTTATTGACTCCAATCTGCCTCGCTTAAACTGGCGTGAATATGCTTCGCTCTTTTTGACTTTCACATGTTTCATTTGGTGTGAACTGAGTCTGCTTGACTCCGTTTGAGCCGAGCCTGTTTCGTTGTTCTGCTTGCCTAGACTTGGGTCTGCTCCGCTTGGTATGATGCTCGTTCCGCTTGGCGTGACCCGAGTATGACTCGTTGGCTGGACTCGAGTCTGCTCCACTTGATTTGATTCCGATGCGCTCCGTTTGGCTTTGCTCTGCAGTCGCCTCCGTTTGGTTTGACTCGACTCTGCTCTACTCAGCGTGTTCGGCTGGCCTCAGCAGGCTCAGCTGTCGCCAAGCTCGCTTTTCGGTGCGTTTAACTCAGTTTAGTCTGTCTGGCTGGGCTCGGCAGCTTCGGCTCGGCCCGGGGGTCCGCTGTGGCTGAGGACCGGCGGCCGTGTATGCTCGGCTCGGCCCGGGGGTCCGCTGTGGCTGAGGACCGGCGGCCGTGTATGCTCGGCTCGGCCCGGGGGCCCGCTGTGGCTGAGGACCGGCGGCCGTGTATGCTCGGCTCGGCCCGGGGGTCCGCTGTGGCTGAGGGACGGCGGCCGTGTATGCTCGGCTCGGCCCAGGGGCCCGCTGTGGCCGAGGAACGGCGGCCGTGTATGCTCGGTTCGGCCCGGGGGTCCGCTGTGGCTGAGGAACGGCGGCCGTGTATGCCCGGCTCGGCCCGACTTTATAGGCCGCGCTCATCGCTGACGTGATGCTCTTGCCCGGGTGTCGGTCGTGCCCGAGGCTGAACGCGGTCTCCGCCCGGATTGGCACGAGTGTCTCGAGTCTGGTACAGTCTGAGTACAGGCCACGGTAGACCCGACGCTTTTAGACGAAACCAAACAAAAATTGACAATTTGATCAGCGCATACTGCTATGCACCAGGCCACGTGGCGATACTGGCCGAATGTCTACAAAGTCGAAAGCATCGCCTCGGCTGGGCGGGGCTCGGTTAAGACGTGCCTAGTTCAGTCCTGTCTGATCCAACCCATGGTGGTCCAGCCCAGCCCGGATTATTGCTGTATATCGGACATCGAACGTGATAGCCATTTATTCGTCTCCGCTTCCATCAGCAGGCGGCTAAGGAAATCGGTGCTGGTTCATTACCTGGTGTCAGTGATGTTTCGACGAACACGGCGTTTCATACATTCGCTCTTCAGTGATGTTACCTTTGAAGTCCGTTTACATGTACTTAAGGATCGATAGCGCCCTTAGTGGTCAGCTTGACTATTTCCACTTTTATGACGCTCCAGATTCTATGCAGATGTTGGGAGCTTCCCGGTGCATGATTACGTTGTTGCGGGCTGAAAAAACACACCTTACATCTGCCAGCCAGCTGTTAAACTTCCGTTGCCAGCATCCATGATCAACCCCCCCCCCCCCCCACCCGCCCCTGATACTCCGCAAACGTGATATGCTTGTATCGACCAGCCCTGTCAAATATTGCAGCAATGTGGATGGAAATCGGCACTGCAGTCGCGGTACCTGTTGCACTCATGATAACATCCGTCCCCGTGATTTCAGCGCCCTCTGTTTCTAGTGATTGATGACTTAGGGCCAGCACGCGACACAAGGTTCCGGGCTATCCTAGCTGATGTCTAGCTTCGTTGCTAGAGAGATCCGGCGATCCTCTTAGTCCCGTACTTAAGTATTTTGAGCGCAGAACTTATTTTACAAATCAGCCATGGGCTCCGGCTACAGGTGCATTCAGTTTCAAATGTATTTGCCAAGAGATTGCGTTGCGATACGCCACATGGCGACATTGCATAATTGTTCGGCTGTCTTCCGTCCGCGCAGTTGCTGATGAAGCTGGCCCGCAACCGGGGTTGTAGTCTCCCATTCAGTAGGGGGGAGGGGGGGGGGCACTTTAGGAAAAAAAGAGTGCCAAATCTGGGGAGAAACTTGTTTCTTGGCATATTTTTAGGCAAGTTTGGGTCCTGTTCAGCTCCCCTCCCAAAAACCATTCTGTGAAACTACACTCCAGCCTTCAGCTAACCATAATGCCTGCGCTGTTGACTCCAGTGTACCTTGATGGCATTCCCTCAGACATCAAGACACTATGCAGAGGGACAGAAAAAGCTTTTCTTAATTGGCTTAGGTGTAGAAACAGGGAAGGGACGGGAGAACATCATGACTCATTGCCTTTCCATGGCGTTTAACATAAGCTATATGGTGTCCATGTAAGAATGACTAACCCTGGCCCTGGTGGGGGGGGGGGGGGGGCAATGACCTTAAGGTTTTCTGATGATATCTCTCCGGCATGTTGTGCAATTGCGCCCAAATGTTTGGTAGGCTCTGGGATGTCCATTGTGCTTTGACACCTGCCTTTAGGAACTAATGCCTTTAGCGGCACGGCACGGTGATCGGCGACCGGCGCAACAAGCGGGCGGCACGCGGCCATTTTGTGGGCCGCGTGCCATCAGCCGAAGCTTACATTAACGGAGCTCTACATCACGCATGTATACTGAAAACGCATCAGACTGTATACCATTGTATTCAGAATTACCATTGTAATCAGAACAACACCACCTGTTCTCGTTTCGTGTCGCTATGGGACGTGTATTGCTGGAGGATTAGTTTTGAATCCATGGATCTGTTTTTGTGCCGAGTCAGAAGTTAGAAGAGTATGGACTACGAGCTTATGGTCTCATACATATGAGCATGTAAAGCTGAAAAGCTCCAATTTTCAGGATAACTTTATCTTTGACCCGGCCTAGTGGGGTCATTTGCTGACCTAGCAACAATCCACCGATACTTTCGGGTGGCTCTATTCTTCTGAGTTCGAAACGGCAGCGCGGGTCACATCGTTTCCCTCTCCCCCTATAAGTCCACGTTGTGAAAAACGACGAATCCAGAGGAGGGTTTAGCAGGAGTCGGGCACATATAGCAGGAGTCGGGCACACATGTTCCCTGGGACGCTGCGCTGCCATGTCAAGATGGCTCAGACCAGACCAACGTTTTCGGAAGGTCGCTGAAGTCCCTTGTCCGCGCCCTTTAGGTTTCTGACTCGGCGCAGGTAACATAGATCCATAGACTTGAAGCTATTCCTTCAGCAACATTTGGGTTAGTATTGGGAGGTTTTGAACATTGTTCAGCGCAAGTGGTTTGAAACGAACAGAAAAGCCAAATGTCAGATCATCGAGCAGTCCGCGTGCCCGCCTTCCATTTCACATTTGCCCTTTTGTGCCAGGATGAACTGAAATGTGGTGGATAGATATGCATTGATGATGGTAGTTTGGGTTCAATGGGTGCGTCGATTGCGGTATTTATTTTGCGCAGGCTAAATATGGATTGCTATGTTAAGTACTCTTGATATGGCTGTGACCAGCTCCAATGTACAGCTTATGAAAAAGACAGATTAGTCGATAGGTTAGATTTAATGTGGACAGACTGGATTGAATCCAGCAGCTCATTTCATAAAGACTTCATCACTGAGCCCAGCGGTTGTGAATCCCTGGTGATATGGCTAGATACTTATGAGACACTTTTCTGCCTGCTGATGAAGCGCAAGGACACCGACCAGAACGAGGTGACCACTAGCAGCAACTTCCATACAACGCTGTCACAATTTACACGATTTTTTCACTGCGCCGTATAAGGCTGAAGTGGGTGGGTGGGAAAGACCTTAAGATTTA